ACATAGATTAGACTTCTAAGCTTGTTTAAATCTCATTCGAATCGTTTATAATGCGATTATGCTGGTAGTTAAAAATTATATCATATTTCTTCACTAAAAGCTCGGCATGCATCCCCAGCTGTCAAGGAAAATACGGTGAAACCAGAAAGCGGATGCTGCTGAGTACAAAGATTCAATATCTCATTTGCATTTTAAAAGGCAACTAGAAAACATTCTCTTCCAGGTCGACCGATAGCCCTGGGACGAGTAGGGAGCATGCTTAATGTATATATCGGTCGTGTTTAATGTATCGTGACAGCTTATCTTTTCTATGTTGTAGATTATGTCATATAAAAATGACTTTGATTTTGCTGATTTGGTGCATATGCAGGTGATTGAAGAATTCGATCAGAATGTACATTTTATCGAAATAGATATCGAGGAAGATCCGGAGATTGCCGAAGCTGCCGGAATTATGGGTACCCCATGTGTGCAGTTTTTCAAAAATAAAGAGATGCTCAGGTTGGCTAAACTTGGTTCTTTTCATGTATATGCAAAACAAACTTGTGTTGCAAAAGGTCCTTACTTTACGATGCAGCAAAATTTTACGTTATGGGCGAAAACAGATTATCGATAGAAAATATCTAAACTATACGAGAATTTGACATCCCCTCGATACACCCCTGCTTACATCTTTTGTCGATTTTGCAGGACCGTATCCGGGGTGAAAATGAAGAGCGAATACAGAGAATTCATTGAAGCAAATAAATGAGTATTATGGTGATTTCTTGGCTTTCATCATTTCGTGATTCAATTTTGTTTCTACTGAAAGCATAGTCTTACTGTAAATGAGAGTATTCCTATGCATTTATTGTTATTTTTTTGGGGAAGAAAACACTTTTTTTATTACCTTTTGCACAATCTATTAATCCATAATTATCCCAACATTTTCATTCAGATAACATAAAATATAGGATTGTAAACGAGACAGATCGTGAGTTACTCGAGATCGATTCAATCAATGTTCGATAAATACTCGAGTTCGAGCTTGATTTGAGTTCTTAACGAATCGAAACATGCTACTTGATACTTGACTTGAAAAGCTCGTCAACAACTCAAAAATATGACATTAAGATTTTATTTTTTTAAAAATAAATTATTAATAATATTATCATCTATGTGTTGATTTTTTTTAAACATAATATAAGGTTTTTCATGTATTTAAGGTTCAGGTCAAGTTTGAGGATTAGTCAAGTTAAATTTAAGATTTTTTTTTCGTTACGAGTTTTGTCAAGTTTTAATTTATGATTTTGAGTTTAAGTTAAGCTTTATTTTATAGTTTTTGAGTTGAGTCGAATTCAGTAACTCAGCTTGTTTATCGCCCTAATAGAATGAACGATGATATTATTTCATTATGTTAATAAGTGTTTAGAGGTATTTTAGAGTATATTAGGAATAGTTTAGAGTTATTTTACTCTAAAATTTATATTTAAATATAAGATTCTAGATTTAAGTATCGATATCATAAGAACAAGTACGGATAAGTGGATGGAAAGTTTCAATATTCGCTATCGAATATCGATATCAACATACAAGTATCGATACGAACAAGATATATCAATACTATTTTTTGTTACTGAAATTTGATGTCTGATTTTAATTTCTCAAAGAATAATATTGACACCCGATTATCCAATATTAATATTTAATTCTAAAATATAAGTGTGTTTCAAAAATAAATTTAGTTGATTTTTGAAGTATAATTAGTTGACCAGTATGTGTTTTGTTTGTAGTGAAAGTTTTAGTTTAAATGTGAGATTTTATAGGGTAGATTGCGCATTTAGTACATATACTATTAGATTTGGTTCGTTTTAGTACATAAACTTTTAATTTTTTAAAAATTATAATTGAAATTTAATTTTGTTTCATTTTAGTACTCCTGTTCAAAATTTAACATTAAGTTTTGAAAAAAAACTAAAAGTTTAGGTACTAAAACGGACCAAAATATATAATTTAGGTGCTAAACGCATTAAGTTTTTAACGGCGGGATAATAAAATGAATAGAAAACTAAACGTTAAGTATGAGTCTGAAAAAATTGAAAGTTTAAGTACTAAAATGAATCAAAATTGATAGTTTAGGTATTAAATACGTAATTTATCCCATTTTATAATGTCAATTTGATTAATATGGTATCTAAAGTTCGATGAAAACTCACGATGAATTTGAGATATCACATCTATTTACCCAATTTTATAATCTCTCTGTTGCATCTGCATATACGGTGTTCGAACTAAGGACCTCAAAAGATAACAACAAATCTTTTAAGAGAAAATAACCTCAGTGACCAAAAATCCCAGATAATATACGATTTTGATCAACTTTTTTTGGATTTACGAAAATGACCAACAAAATCGCAATGCGATCTCTAATTCGCATTGCGATCTCCACTATCGCAAATTCGCGTTGCATTTCGCGTTGCGATAATTGAAAATCGCGTTGCGGTAGTTGAAAATCGCGTTGCGATTTTCCATTTCGCGTTGCGATTTTCCAGTTCGCGTTGCGATAGTCTACAGTTGTCGTTGCGATTTTCCAAATTCGTTGCGATTTTCCAGTTCGCGTTGCGATAGTTGAAAATCGCGTTGCGATAGTCTACAGTTGTCGTTCATTGCAATAGTCTATAGTTATCGTTGCGATTTTCCAAATTCGTTATGATAGTTAAAAAAAAGATTTTGTTTCTTAAGAATTTTCTCTAAAAAGATAGTATCCGCGCGGACGTGTCGAAGACACGTATTACCACGACCACGACCCGAGACGGACGGCGGCGACGGCGCGCAAGAGTCTCCCTTGTTCTCTATCACTCAACAAGGAAGTGGGAAAGCCAAGCCTTAAATACCATTCTCAATAGTGTTTCCAATACTATGTGGGATTGAGCATTACCAACACTTGTTTCCAATACAATGTGATTATTCAGGAAACAATTAACAATCATGCACCTTAAAACAACTGAATCAGCAACCAATTGCATTAGTATTATACGATTAAATATGTCATAATTAAAAGTCAATCTACAATTAATCGCGATTATTGCAATTTTAAGCAAAACATTCAAAAATAATATCACTATTTAAGGCTCAATCCCACATAGTATTGGGAACAAGTGTTGGTAATGCTCAAATCGTACATAGTATTGGAAACACTATTGAGAATGGTATTTAAGGCTTGGTTTTCCCACTTTCTTGTTGAGTGATAGAGAATAAGGGAGACTCTCGCGCGCTGCCGCCGCCGTCCGTCCGTCTCGGGTCGGGTCGGGTCGTGGTCGTGGTCGTGGTCGTGGTAATACGTGTCTTCGACACGTCCGCGCGGATACTATCTTTTTAGAGAAAATTCTTAAGAAACAAAATCTTTTTTTTTAACTATCGCAACGAATTTGAAAAATCGCAACGAAAACTGTAGACTTTCGCAACAACAACTGTAGACTATCGCAACGAATTTGGAAAATCGCAACGACATTGTAGACTATCGCAATGCGAAATAAAAAATCGCAACGCGATTTGCAACTATAGCAACGCGAAATGGAAAATCGCAACGCGATTTTCAACTATCGCAACGCGAAATGAAAAATCGCAACGCGATTTCCAACTATCGCAACGCGAAATGCAACGCGAATTTGCGATACTGGAAATCGCAATGCGAATTAGAAATCGAATTGCGATTTTGTTGGTCATTTTCGCAAATCCAAAAAAAGTTGGTCAAAATCGTATATTATCTGAGGTTTTTGGTCACTGAAGTTATTTTCTCATCTTTTAACTATTAAGGTCTCTTAGTTTGTGCCCTGCTTGTAGAGTTAAAAGCTCTGCCTACGAGTTTTTAATAAGTTGAGCAATTTGTGAGTTTTTTAAACTCGACTCGATCAAAACTCAATTAATATTTGACTGGGATTGACTCGATTCGAGATCTTAACAAGTTGAGTCGAATAAAACTCAACTTGACTTGATAAGTTTACGAACGGTTCATTAATGCTTCTTTTTTTATAATTTTTAGTAGTCACTTTAATTTATGATCTTATGTCATGAGTGAACTTCTAAAATTTAAAAGGGTGAACATATAAAATCCTAAAGAGGTAAAAATAAATTATATAAAAACTATAAAAAATTAAAATATATAATAATTTAAATTTTTTAAAATGTAATCGAGTTAATGGAATACTTATCCTTAAAGAGTTCATTAGAATGGAAAAATAAAATATATAATTTAATTTTGGGGCTGAGATTAGGGTTTGGGCTTATAATTGATCCCACGCCAGAGACATTTGGGCCCACAGATGATGATGACGTGGAGAAAGTGGGGCTTCCCAAGTACACAAAAGCCAACCCAAAGGCCTAATTTAAAAGTTCCGCTGGCTCTTATAAGAGGTGAATATTCGATCGAGTTGAGTTAAAAGATTTCGAGTTAATTGAATTGACGAATCCTATTTTACAATTCGAAGTTGACTTAAAATTTTTCCAAGTCAAGTTTATAAATTTCAAGTTGAACAGAGTCGAATTTTCAAGTTTCTATTCGATTTTAATTGTAAATATTTTAATATTATAATCTAATTTGATTCCAATTTAAATTATTTTTTTAATATTTTTTTCATATGTAATTTACATATATCCTACAAAATCGAAAAACTCTAACCAAGTTTAAAAATCAATTTACTAATTATTAAAAATTTCGAGTTTTTAGAACTAAGGGAGAAAATGGAGATGGCAATTAGCTTCCATCACTCATTGTTTGTTTAATGTTGTTTTTGTTTCGATATTTGATTTCAAGTTCGGATCAAAATAGTTTTAAACTCAAACTTTTAAATCGAGTCAAACTCAACTACACTCGAGTTCAACTCGACTAGTTTACGGCCCTACACCCGAGATATAAATTCCACCATGAATGAATAAACACGAACCATAAAAATAAAATATTTAAATAAATAATTCGTTTCCTCAAAATTTAAGCCTCTAGTAACCAGAAATTTAATGTGGTACCTTACAAATGCTCTTAACTTACAGGCCTAATAAACAACTCACTGAGTCGGGACATGAAAAACATTTCCCCTGCTTTTAATATATCAGATGTCCACTTTCTGCATCAAACCAAAGGATCCAGTGCCCATTTTCACAGGCAGTCCGAGGCATATTCTGGAGGATGGTGTCTCCAGGTTGTCCACCAGCCCGTGTCTTGCCGCCTCGACGATAAATCTCGAGGCGGTCTCGAAAGTCATCTTGCTGAAAGGTGATATAGATTCCGCTATACCACCGAGCCGGCTCATAGGTCGATACCTTCCGGAATGGGTCATAAAATCAGCGATGAGCGTTAGGTGGCGGATATTCACGGCTATCCCGTAAGACGTGAAAACGTTACTGATCTCGCTAATAATGGTTTCTCTGGCAGCTTCCACTCCATACGTATTGAGCATTGCATGGATGTTGTTGGAATATAAATACCTAACATCAAGGTGATCTTCCATCTTCCAAAGAGCACCGAAATCCACTCCGGCTGTGTGAAGAGCTGGTATGTTTCCCTTGTCGGACAGACTCTTCCTGCGTTTCGGATCTTCACCGTAGTAAAACACTTGATTCTCACTACAGTCCGTCACTCGACATTGGTCGATCTTTCCGAACCTCTGGATGTAAACCTTCTTTGCAGTTTTCTCAGCTATCTGCAGAAGATTATACCAGAAGACCCAAAAGTGTGCATCAGTTAAACGAATACTAAACTTTGTGCAAGGATAGGAAATAGAATGCAAGAAAAGATAATATTTAACCCGAATCGGTATATTTTCTAGAAGCAATGGTCTTAATACAATTATATACACATGAAACAATGCTGCGATGAACGACTCGGAAAAAGTGAAGCACCTGAGCCAGTAAAATGTGAGGTTCATTTGAAAACTTAAAATGGACCTCTAAGTGCAATCCTTTTGTCTCACTAAATATCGCCCTGTCGGTCTCCTTCCTAACAAACTTTCTTCTTTTGGGTTCTGATTTGGTCTTTTCCTCCTTTGATCTGTTTTCAGGAATCTCATCCTTTTCATTATCTGATCCATTCACATCGTTCTCAATAGTTCCATTATCATCCTCGGACATATCGATTTCACTTTCCAACCCAGCCAAAGTGGGCCCTTCGTTTTGTTCCTCATCGGAACCATCTTCATAATCCATCTCATCTGTCACTTGTTGTTTCTGTTTTTGTGCATCCAGACCAAGATCCTCAGCCCTTTCCTCGTCATCGGTATCATCGTTCTCAGTCCCACGAGTGCTTTCAGGAACGTCTTCATCGGTTTCATTTGAAGCATTCGGTCGTGAATCTGGCACAAAATTTTTTATACCACAAATTCTGGACAGCAAAGCCAGATGGTTCTGTATGGCATCCTCTAACTCCCTCAAAAACACTACCCCTAAGATGTGCTGACAATCGCTCGTTTTTATATCATTGTTCTTAAAATATCGATCGGGTTTGCCAAGCCTCATTTTGAGTTTATAGATACTACAAACATCACCATTTTCAAGAGCAAATGGTGTGACAGATACTCCCATACTCTCCAACATATCTGCTACTGTGATTTTCTTCATCTTATCAGCAAGACGCAAGGCATCCTCCCTATACATGCAAAATACATTGAAGAAGTTATTACTCTAAAGCCGGGAAACTTAGCAGCTGGTGCAGAAAGAGCACCTGAAAGACACCATAATACTACAGTAAAGAGGGGGAAAATTGGATTCATGGAAGGGGAACGAGGGAGAAAGGTACAATCTCCAATCCCTCGTTTAGGAAACAATTTCTTTTGGGATTTGAAGGTATACACATACAGTCAAAACCCCCCGAAGTTCTTTTCTCCTTAATCGCAGCAATTGTGAAGGGAAAGAGAAGATGTAATTGTGAAGGAAATGGTGGAAAAGAAAGGAAAAGGAATAGGGGCATTGATTTGTGCTTTTATTTTCATTACAACTTGAGTTTCAGATAACTTGTATTTGAACCCAAACTTCATTCCAATTAACTAAATTAATAAAAGTGAATATCTCAGTCCAGCCAAGAGCTGAAGGTGAATGTCTGAATTGACTTGAGCTATTAGGATCTTCAGGTGGTTAACGGTTTTAGGGAACCTCAGTCTTAGTCCGGTTTCTAATGATCTTATGCATCCTGGTTCTAGTAGGTTCATAAGTAGCCCAGGAATCTTCATAAATATTGGTCAACCAAGGCTCAACTTACTAGCAATTTATAAAAATGATCAAGAGATACTTAAATTGCAAGTGCCTGGGAACTTACTTTGTTTTCCCCTTATGCAAAGGGCACGTCATTACTGGAGTCTTGATATCAACTGAAGCAGTCATTAAGATCTCTTGTAAACGTGGAATACCCAGTGTAACATTCATTTCACCTCTCCCCGCAAGATGGAAAGTATTCAGCCTAAGAACAGTATATCCAAAGGTAATCGACAAAGAAAAAGAAGGAAAATACACAAATAGCATATAATGCATGCTTAACCTAAAAAATAAAAGTAAACTCTTGTGTGATGCATATATCCTCACGCCAAGTGAAAAAAACGTAGCATGCAAGAATATAAAGAAGTTTGCTTCAGAAAAATCGTGCTATTAAACAAAGGACTATAAGAGGAATAAACTTAATTACTTAAGGAAGAACATGAACTAGCACGACAAATTGTTTCAATGTTAAAATTTATGGAAAATAGTGACGATGGCAAGCATGCCTCAGCTCAGTTGCAAAATTTCCCATACTAGTGTCATCTTATCAATCAGAAACAACTTCAGAAATACAAGCATTAGTGCCATGGCCATCACTTGACTATCATACTGATAATAAAGTCATTTATACTACACTATATCAAATAAAGCATTCACTTCTGTTTTCCTGGAAGTTAAAAAAAAAAGAATCTTACGTCATCTGTGTTGAAGGTTCTCCAACAGATTGAGCGGCAAGCACACCAACAGGTTCTCCTGGCTGGGCAAGACTAGAAAGAAATTTAAGATTCAATAATTTTAAGAAGTTTTTGGTCTTTATCTTCATGTGCCGATTATTCTTTATAAACTGCACAGCTTTGTCTTTAAGACCATCAGGCAATATTTTTCCAGAATCATCAGGTTCACCAAGCTGAGAACTAAGCTTTTCTGACATCACATCACGATTCTGAAAACAAGGAGAGTGAAAGACACTAAGAAACTAGTTTTAACTAGAGTTCACTTCAGACACAAAAATCAGGTAGAAGTTCTCACTAATGCCAGTGCTTCGAACTTTTCAACGAAGCTGGTCTGATGGACATCAATACCATCTTCCCCATAGTTAAATTGAACAATTGAGCCATCAGCATCACGAACAGTATGATCATAACTGATTTTCAAACACTCCAGATTCTTTATGAGGCATCTCTGAAGGTACCCACTGCGAGATGTTTTGACTGCTGTATCAACTAGACTGTAAAACAAAAGATAAAAGTTATGCACAATAACAGGAACACAACCTCTATGATAAAACAGAAGATCCTCATACATGAGGCAAAATTGAAAATTCCAAACAACTTTATGACAATAAACCTTCAACCATGTAACAATTGTATCAAATTGTAACGATTGTCTATTTGGAGATTGGTAGTGGAACCTGTCGAACGGACTTTCAGACCTTAGACGTGCTAAAGAGAATTTTTAAATCCTGTAAAAGTTTGTTTATTTCCTCCAAGTTGGCCTCCTCATACATGAAGCAAAATTGAAAATTCCAAACAACTTTATGACAATAAACCTTCAACCATGTAATTGTACTAAATTGTAATGATTGTGTATTTGGAGATTGATAGTGGAACCTGTCGAACGACTTTTAGACCTTAGGCGTGCTAAAGAGAATTTTAAATCCTGTAAAAGTTTGTTTATTTCCTCCAAGTTGGCCTCTTAAATAGATGTTACACTGGGTCAAATAAAGAACTTGTCAAAATAATTAAAAGCCAGTTTCCATCAAAGCTAAGACTTCTAATGACATAAGATAAATATATTCAGGTACCACCTTTACTTCAAATCAACATATGATCATAACAAGCACAAATTAACAATTTTAGTAAAATTTCAATATTAGTTTAAAGAAAAGAAAAAGCATTTATCCCACTAAAAGAAACAAAGATAAATAGAAGAACAAGTTTGGTTTACCCTTCACGTCCAGCCATACAATGGAAATAATATTCTTGCGGCCGAAGACCACTAAGAAAACGATCACTTATGAACCCACCAGCTCTAGCTGCCCAATCCCACGGATGGAAACAGGGCAACGTTTTCCCAGAAACCATCCGCGGTACTCGCTTCCCTTCTAATTCTTGTTGACCAAGGAAAGATGAAATTTGCTGAAAATTAACCTGTTTGGAGCATAATGCAAATAGTTAGTCAACCAACAAGTTCTCTTTGCTATCCTCTTTTGACAATAGAATGAGGTTACACTTCGTTTGCTTTACAACAATTATCTTTGGACACCTTATCCATAATGAATTCCTATATAATCACCAATAACTTTAGCATCTGCCAGAAATTCTAAAATCTTCACAATCGAACAACATAATTAAAAGCCGGAAACAATTTGAAGGTCCTAGGATCCAAATGTGGCATTTATAATATTCATAAATGTATGTACAATTAAAGTCTTTATAATTTTATAGAAAATAAATATAAAGTTAAAACCACGTGCACTTATGAATGCAGGCCTGAACTCAAACAACTAAAGTACGCAGAGGATTCATAGAACTAGTCAAAGATAAATTCCAATCTTGGCGACAGATGCCAGTGAATGATTCCTACAGAACTCTGCTACTTACTGAACACATGCATGTGCATAGAATACCATATTGTGCTACAACAACCATGAAAAAGTCAGTGATACCAAAAAAATATATGATAAAGCCAGTACTATGTCAAAAGAAGAAAATTACCTTGCTACCTTTAGCCCCAGTTGTAGTCATTAGAGAAATACAGTTCTTTCCCATAGGTTTTACTAAACCTTCAGACAACAGGTCAGTAAGAACACCTTGGCTTGAGTTCTTGTTAAGCACGCTAATCATCTTTCTATCCAAGGCTGCGAGTGCAGCCTCTCCATCTCTACGTATCATTTTCTCAATTTTCAATTGCAATTCCATTAGAGCTGAAACACATCAACACATTACATATTTGTTACGATATTAATCGAAACTAGCATGCATATGCAACTGCTGACATATGAAGAAGTCAAGAAAGATGAAAGGGATCAACCACACAAATTATAACTGTTGTTAAAAAGGCTGTGACTCCCTGAATGTGATTCACTATTATATGAAAAAATTAAAGACAACGAACCATTATTCTATCAAAGAAACATAAAAGGGCCGCACAGACTTTTATAACCTTCCATGCATTAGAAAGATTTCTGTCATAAATGAGAAAAAGAAAAAAATCAAATGGTGTAAAGATTTTATCATTTTTTGTTTCCGTCCAAAAAGGACTTGCAGCCACAGCATAAGTTTGATATTTAGTTTCTCCTTGGTTCACTTTCACTTTACCCATCTTATAAGAAAGCAGATTTCTCTCCTCTAAAATCATTGTTTCCAATTAACATCTGTTGACATTCATACTCATCTTTCCCTTTCCCAACCTCACTTTCAATCAAAGTTAACCACCAGCTCAAAGAGTAAACAGATTTTCCAGATACCCATCTAATTCTTGTACAAATGATTTATCTATTGTGATGCCATTACTAGAAACCTCCAATTGTATCAAAATATTGGCTTGGACTCCACCTTACACACTAAAGTTAGTGCTCACATTAGTATCTTAGTCTGAGTGATAAACTCTTTCAAATTTATTGTTCTCTGTAAATGATCAAATTGAGAAATGTTCGTAGTCAGGAGCAAGTGCCAGGTTTGCTTTTGTATTCATGGAAAAGAATGTTTCTTGATCCTACTCTAGGTCTTCGTTCAGAGAACTTCTCAACTGTTTAGCTTGCATTGGTGTTTCACCAATGGATTATCTCTTTAAGACTTTACCCACAATGGCATCACACGAATGATTTCAAATTTCAGAACAAAAAGGGAAGTTGAACAGGAACTTTCAGGCTTCAAAACATACAATATATCGCACCATATTTTTTTTTGATAGGAATAGAAGGCCTCATTAAAAACCTCCCTCATAGTTGCCTCTTGTGTGGAGACAAATAGCAGAAGGAGGAAAAGAGTGCCTTAATATATTAATAACCCATAATTACATAAGATTACCAAACATTACATAAGATTACTGTAACATCCCAAATCAGGGTCAGTGACTAAATTGCAAATTTTAAAAACTATGTGCTCGATTTCGAAATAAGTTAAAAGTTCATTTTTTTTATAGGAAAAGGAGGTCTCATTAAAAACCTCCCTCATAGTTGGCTCTTGTGAAAGAGGCAACTAGCGGAAGGAGGAAAAGAGTACCTCATTATATTAAAAAACCATGTTTACATAAGATTACAGCTTACTAAATAAACTGTCCGAAATAAAATACAAACCAAAACAACCATAAAGCTCAAACATCAACCAATACCCTCTTTAGCTAGCTTATCAGCCTCCCAATTGCATGTCCTAGGAATCCATCTAACAATAATACCCCTAGCAGAAACTAAGGCCTCAATTTCCCCAACTAAAGTATTGAAAAAAGTAGGGGCAGAAAATGGAATCAAAATCCAGTCAACTGCTATTTTACAATCTGTCTCAAGGATTAGTCTTCCCTTCAGAGCCCATTCGGAAGAAATGAATAGATCAATCCCTTGTTTAATAGCTTTTAGCTCACTAACATAGGAGGACCAGGTCCCACCGCAAAAGAAAAGGTATATAAAGTAGAACATTCCGAATCTTTCAAGACTCCTCCAATACCTCCCTGCAGCCCATCACCTCTTACCGCTCCATCAACATTGAATTTAAAGAAATTCGATGAATAGATCAATCCCTTGTTTAATAGCTTTTAGCTCAGCTAACATAGGAGGACCAGGTCCCACCGCAAAAGAAAAGGTATAAAGTAGAACATTCCGAATCTTTCAAGACTCCTCCAATACCTCCCTCAGCCCATCACCCTCTTACGCTCCATCAACATTGAATTTAAAGAAATTCGAAGGAGGCGGAGACCAGTTAAGACCTTCTCCTTATTGTAGGATTTTATAGGCAAATTGTCTGCAAGCGATGGATCCCCTACTAGTAGGTCAACTTGAATATTAACATGAGGAAATTTCGCTAAAAACCATTTAGCCAACCTAAACCTGGAAATGAAGAATAGGGATGAATTATCTAATGTCCAGTTTTCAAAAACCACTGCATTCGTAGCTTTCCAAATAGACAATAGAACAACACCTGGAATGAACTTCCAAATATTAGAACACTCCCTTAGATAAGACCAAGAGCAAAGAAAGGAAGGAGGATCTTGGGGCATGACCGAAGAGATGTCCCAAACCTTAAAATCTATACCACAACTCCTCTGCAACCGAGCATGAAAAAAACAGATGACGAATTGATTCCTCATGTTTGTGGCAAAAAGGGCACAAAACATCTTCAAGATTGACCCCTCTTTTCTTCAATTCCACTCTAACCGCCAATTTCTGATGAGTAAACTGCCATAGAAATGTTTCCACTCGAGGAGGAGTTAATCCGGACCACACCCATTTCTACCATTGAAAATGTCCTCCAGTTCAGCTTGAGATAGTTCTACAAGATTTTACCGAGAACAACCATCCCCTTTCCCCGACCACCCCAGAAAATCATCCACTGATTCATTCGGTGTTATGTTGTCAATCAAAGCATTAAGGAAAGCCACTGATCCAATTCTCAGTCACAAATTTCTCCTTAGCTGAATGTTCCAAACCCAACCATTAGCTACAAATCCACCAAATTCAACCAATTTTCCCCTTTTGTTAGTCGACAGAGCATAGATTCTAGGAAATTGAATCTTAAGAGTAGATCCATTAACCCAAATATCATTCCAAAAATCAATTGACCTACCATTCCCCACTTGGATCTTCGAATTGGATCTCAAACAATCCCCAATCTCGTCCTTTTTCTCATAGTTACTCCGAATACCTCTCCACACCCATGAATCTTGAAGAGAAACAACCTTGCCTATAGACAGAGAGTCCATACTGACATTATGAATACAACAAATCAGTTTTTTCCATTGAGAGTCTTTGTCATTGCATACTTCCAAACCCATTTCCCTAGCAAACTCTATTAATCATACTTAAGTCCAATACTCCTAAGCCTCCTTCTTCCAATGGTTGACAAACCGTACTCCAATTCACCCAATGAACCCTCTTCTTGTCAAATTCTTCACCCCAAAGAAATCTTGCCAATACTAAGTTAATTTTCTGATTGACCTTAAACGGAATTTTGAAAATAGAGAGGTAAAAAATAGGTAAGGAGGACAATACCGATTTTATCAACACCAATCTTCTAGCCAACGATAAAGAAGCAGCTTTCCAACCTGCTAATCTGGTGAAAACTTTATGTAAAACTGGTTCCCACAATAACTCTGAATTTTTCTTTGTTCCTATCGGAAGACCTAGATAAGTCATAGGAAAAGATCTCACCCCACAACCTGCTTCCAGTGCTAAATCTTTTAATTTGTCCTCTGCCACATTAACAACCAAACAATTTACTCTTGGATAGATTAAGATGAAGCCCTGAAATTAAACTGAATACCCTCAATACTCTCTTTAAATTCAGAATTTGAGTTGAGGAATCTCTGCAAAATAAGATTAGGTCGTCTGCAAACTGCAGATGAGTCAACTTAAAAAGATTCTCTTCAATACCAATATTGAATCCTTCAAAAAGACCAAGGGTAGCAGCCTTACTCAACATTAAGCTCAATAGCTCACCAACAATATTAAACAGAACAGGAGATAGACTACAACCTTGTCTCAGCCCTTTGCCAATCTGAAATTCTTGAGTAGGGGAACCATTAATTAGGACTGAAATTGAAGCAGAAAAGATACAATAATCCATCCAAGAAATCCATTTGTCTCCAAAACCCATTATCTTCAATAACCTCAAAATAATTGGCCATTCCACTGAGTCTTTGCCTAAAAGCGCATCAATGAGCTGCCTACCCGAAATAAGGCGAATTGCAATAGGCTGATCAAAACTTTAATAACAGAAACCAATCTCCTCGATAAGATTCTAGAGATAATTTTGTACAAACTTCCAACAAGACTAATTGGTCTGTAATCTTCAATAACTTCAGGGTTGAGTTTTTTAGGAATCAAAGTAATGAAAGCATGGTTGACCCCATGCTCCCAACTCATTCCTCTATGAAAGTTGTCCACAAACTTCATTAAATGATCATTCCTCTGTAATTGAGGAAAGTTGATGTTGGATTTAATGGTAAAATTTGGAAATAACAAGGGTATTATGGTCTTTTCTAAGAGAAGATTTTTATTCTCTTTTTAAGGGATATAAAAACGTGGGAAAGGAGATAATTTCTCCAGAGTATTCTTCAGTCTTCTTCTTCCTCCTCTCCACCGTGAAGCCTTGTATAAGGTAAGTGGGTCTTCAATTGGTTAATTCTTTCGTTTTAAAACTTGTTTTGATTCTTGGGATGTTAAGAAAGATTAAGGAAAGCTTTAGGTGGCTTAAAACTCAAAGTTTAGCAAGTTATGAGAAATTAAGAAAAATGAGTTTTTAAGTGAATTTTTGAAATAGAATGAGTTAATAGATTTTGAAGTTTAATTTGACTTGTCAAGGATTAAATTAAGAGATATGAAGTAATAGAATGGGTTTTAGAACATGGAAATTAGTGTGATTCTGAATGCCATGTAAATGATAGAATTTTGAGTTTAAACCGTGATTATGGAGTAGAAATGAGTTTAATTATGTGTATGAAAGTTAGGAATATTAAAGGGAGTGAAGTATGAAGTGTTGAGCTGAAAATGAAGTGATTTTCGAGCTAAAAATATGATTTCTGGGCTAGGGGAATCGGTACCCATTCAAGGGGAACCGATACCCCTTCAAACGAACAAAAATTTCCAGAATGTCATGAGGGAATCGATACCCCCATAGTAGGGAACCCCCTAAATGAAAAGTGTGAATATTGGTTAATAAGTTCGTTTAAGTTGTTAGTATCAAATTACAAGGTGTAGGTATCTAATAATTGTCTTAAAATGTATAATTATGTAGATTCAGAGCCTAATCAAGTTCCGGAATCATTGACAAGTAAGATCGATCAAGGGGAAAGATAAGAGATTGAAATTGACTAGTGAGGCCAGGTGAGTGCATACAAGTATGTTTATAATGTTTAACGGAAATAAGACTTGCGACAAGTCTATTTCCTATATTAGAAGGCCTGAATGTATGATCATAGGCATATGTTTGATTTGGGTATATGTGATATATATATTATAGTATGTATTAAATGATTTGTGTGAATGCATGCAGTGTGATAAGTTATAGGAATTAATATGAATGATCTATATGATTACATGAGAATGTGAAATAGGTTATATGATAGGTGATCATACATGTTACATAGTAAATGTGATCAATTATAAGAATCAATATAATAGATTATATGACTACAGGAGAAGGGTGATGAGTTAAATAAGATTAGACTATAGAGTAATATGAGAATAATATATTAGTGAAGGGAATTGATTATAAATGATGATGCCAAACTATAAGATAAGTGTTATAGAGAAGAAGTATATTTAAAGAGAATTATGGTATAGGATTCAAGTAAAATTTAACTAAATAAATAGATTAAACTGGTATAAATGGAAAATGAGATAAGTTAGGTAGCATTTACCTAAGAGAACATAAGATATATGAATAAGTAGCATAAATGACATAAGGAAAACTTATGTGTTATATGATTTAAGCATTGAAAGAACAAAAGATATTCAGGTGAAGTTATTCGGTGAGATGAGTATATTATTATACGGTTTAGATAAAAATACTATACATGAATAAATGTGATTGTGTGAGAAATGATAGAAACTATAGAGAACATGTATATGTAAAGTAATCTATGTGATTATATGTTATATGAATACAAGAACCTGAGATATGTAACATGTGAATTATATGGAAATGATCTATGTGTAAGTGAACTATGTGACTATGTGATTATATGAAAATATGATAATGAGTTATGTTCAAAAACTATGAGACTACGTGCCCAGGTAATATGAATATTTGAACATGTGAAATGACATAAATGATAATGCCCATGTTATGTGTCATGAGAGCTAGGAGTATAGTTGGCATGCCAAGAGTCGAGGGTCTACGCGATCCTTCGGGACATATATATATTCTTTGGAACATGTGTGAAGTCTTGTGAGGCACATACTTGATCCCTAGTATATATATATGATTCTTAAGGAATGATATGTGGTCCTTATGGACATTATTATATGGCACTTCGGTGCTTTTCTACGCGGCACTTCGGTGCATTTCTACGCGGCACTACGGTGCAATTCTACGTGGCACTTCGGTGCATTTATACGAGCTGTGGTGACAGCATTAGTGCACAACCTCTATAGACTCATATCTATAGTTCTCACATGTGTTCATGGGCTATAAAAATAATAAGATAATAAACTTGGTATGATTATATGTTTATTTCGTTGTGAACTGATATATGTGCTATGATGTGATAATTAAGGATATTATGGATAAGAGTATAAAAATAAGGACTAATATACAAATTGATAATAATATGATTGTACATAAATATGTATGTTTTGATATAATGATATGTGTGTTTCTCGTGACATGGTACAAGTGCATATATATGTTGATGTATATGTAAATGAGCTATATGATTTGATAGCATAAAGCAGTCATGCATGATTATTGGGTATGAATTTCATTATATGTGTTTTTTTATGCCTCACTAAGTCATCGACTTAGCGTGTTATTGTTTCACACGTAGGTTACAGAAGCGAGAAGAGAATAGAAGAATAGTAAGACAGGTCAGCACCTCCCTTACAAAATTTCAGATCAGAAAATAGAGAATTTAAATGTTTTTGGTTATTTTGAGTATAGTTGGCAAGTACTAATTGGTTGAATTAGTTATGCTCTGATTGATTTTGGGTATTGTGATCAATTTATGTAACTAAACCGCTTTTACTTTAATGAAATATTTAAATTTTCTTTGAATTTTGTCAAGAGTCAAAGTTTGAAAAGTCAATGTGACACCTCAGACTCGTATCCGGGTCGGGTACGGGTTGGGGGTGTTACAATTACCTGACATAGAAACATAACCAAAATAATACACCAGAACCACAACTCATAACAACAACAACCTCACTCACTAACCAATTCCTGACTTAGCTAGACAATCAGCTTCCTCATTAATACATCTGCTGATATGCCTAATAATAACATTAGAATGCACAACTGTCTTCTAAATTTCTGTAATCAAATCAAGAAGGTGAATCGGGCAAGAACCTCACTCACTAACCAATTCCTGACTTAGCTAGACAATCAGCTTCCTCATTAATACATCTGCTGATATGCCTAATAATAACATTAGAATGCACAACTGTCTTCTAAATTTCTGTAATCAAATCAAGAAGGTGAACCGGGCAAAGTTCCAGGCTGTTGATCCACTTCACAGCAAGAAACGAGTCACTTTCTAAAATCAGAATTCCTTTGTCCCTCCAAACTGAATAAAAAACACTGCTAACCCCGCTTTGATCGCAAAAATCTCAACAAGAATAGGAGAACAAGGTCCTAATGCTCTAGAGAAGGAAACCATCTTATTATTATCAGCATCTTTAAGAACTCCACCAACACTTCTTCTTCTCCAGTCAAAGTTAACAGCCCCATCAACATTCATCTTAAAATAACCGGTAGGAGGAGGGCACCATTTTAATCTTGACAGTCGAAAGTTAGAGGGGGACTTATTCATATCCGCCAAAGCATTGTTCCTGGGGTGAGTTGAGGGAGAAATCTACAATTTGGAAGTTTATTCCGGGAGTCATTTTCTGGTCTATATGGAAACATAGGAACGCAATGGTGTTCGAAGGAATTCTTTTAGACAGAGTGTCACTGTTCTTCATTGTTAGATTCAGGCTTGCTAAATGGTTCCATGCCAAATTTCCGGGTATTAATATACAAGAGGATGTGCTGATTGGTAATCCATCTCTTGCAGATGGTGCTTCATCTTGTAATGTTAAAGATCGTATTGTCTTTCGGTGGTTACCCCCCCAGTAGACTTCCTAAAGATGAATGTCGATGGAGCTGTTAGGCAGAACGATTCGGGTGGAGGTATAGGAGGCTTATTAAGAGATTGGAATGGTTGCACTCTTTTGATTTTCTCAGAGAGTATTGGTCAAGCAATCCCCCCACTTGCTGAATTAAAAGCTATAAAAAGAGGCATGGATATTTTTCTGTATTCTCGGTGGGCTTCAGTTGGTAGGTTGATCGTTGAAAGTGATTGCTCGTCTGCAGTGGAATGGATTCAGTCCCTGACTCTGGCACCTATTTTTTTCTCGCCTATTGTTTATCAGATTTCGAGTCTTATCTGTGGAAAGGTTTATTCAGTAAGGTTGATTCCAAGGGAGTGTAACGGAGAGGCAGATAGCTTAGCAAAGAACGGGATAGGTTGATTGTAAGAGTCTATTTGTGGTTTTCTTGACCAAGTGTGTAGGTTTTTATGGTGGGAGGAGGAGTGTTTAAGTCTTATGTCAAGCAATTTAGTGCTATTTTTAACCTTTATGTAATGTTCAATATTAATAAAAATTCTAAGGCACTCTTTTCCTCCTTCCTATGATTAAAGACCTTTCTTCAAGGTCTTTAATTTAAGAAGGGGGTTTTTAACGAGGCCTTTCATTCCTATCAAAAAAAAAATCCGCCAAAGCAAGATCTCCCACAAGGTTGTCCACTTGAATAGACACATCCTTGTTTTTAGCTAAAAACCATGACGCCACCCTATACCTCACCAAAAAAACAGATTAGCTTTATCCATCTTGCCTTTCTCAAATACAATCTGGTTCCTGCACAACCAGACAGACCACAAAACAGTTCCTGGAATAAATCTCCAAATACCTGAGTTAGGTCTTAATTGCAACCATGAAAGCAAGAAGCCTTTCGGATTATTAGGTAGAACTGAAATAACTTTCCACAGACGGAGGAGTTTGACCCAAATCTGTCAAACCTGGACGCAAGAAAAAAATAAATGACTGACTGATTCTGGTTCCACTCCACAGAACACACATAGTGGGTTTTCGATATCTTTGACTCCTCTTCTCAGTAAAACAGTTTTGACAGCCAACTTCTGATGAATAATTTGCCAAAGGAATATCTCCACTTTTGGTGGAACTAAACCCTTCCACACAATCTCCAACCATGAATTATCTGAGTCTGATAAACTTGAAAATAATCTAGAGCAAGATTGAACCGAGAACACACCATCCCCACTACCTTTCCACGCAAAACGGTCTTCACCCTTCATCAGAGGACGAAAATTATCCAACAATACCATCATTTCCATCCAATGTTCAAACTCACTATCCATTAAATTCCTCCTTAGTTATTAATCCCACACCCACTCCCCATTAGACATACACCCAAAATAGAACATCTATTATATTAACAAAAAATTTAAGGAACCAGCAGAGTATTTCTTAAAGGTTCTCTAATGTAAATATATAAAAATTTACAACCAAAAAAATTATAACTCGAACATTCAGAATAACCCCTAAATAAGTCGAGCAAGATCTTTTTTCAATAATTCCTTGTTGTAAGCTACTATGTAGCACCAAAATGCTACACCAACCCAAATATCATTTGCTTAAACCAATAAAAGAAGATATGACTATCTAAGAAAGACCCAAACTCAATATTACAAACACATGAAAGCAAAAATTCAGTAAAGTTAACCTCGAACGAAGGCAAAATTTAAACTTTTACATAAATAGGACAAACTTGACATTAACCTACAACAAAAACGGGATACATTAAGAAGCATTCAAAATCTAAACATACCTATATCAGTATCCACCTTGACTCCACATAACTCATAATGTGCCTCTGTTACTTTCTTTTCACATTCTTCAAGTTGCTTTTTCCTTTCAACGTCTTTATCATTCATTATCAAAAGGTCATCTACTCCACATGTGAAACCATGCATCTGCGTCATCCATGTTATATCAAGCAAGTTTGAACAACAAATTCCACATACTGTTATATTAAGCATTGAATTTTTGGGTGCATTTCAATGAGGAATTTTAAAATTTTGGAGATATTTAGAATGCTAGCATTTATAATTATTTAGTTTGGACAAATAATTGTCTTAGATAAACTAGGCTATTAGAAATATATGTTTAAAAATAATTATAAAAGAAAAGTAATGATATTAACAATAAATAACATAAAAAATATGCAATATGTATATCTTTATATTTGCAAAAATATACAAATAATTATAATAATATAAAACATAAAAATAGTATTTTGAAGTTTATTTTTTTTATTCCATAGTGGGACCCGATGCATTAAATGAAATAAAATTAGGGGGAAGTTTAAAAAATCACCTCTTTGGGTAGGATTTGGGATAACAAAATCCACTTTTAAAATCATTGTAAATTTTAAAAATCTCCATTAACTTTACCCAAACAATAAAAATCATTGTGGGGATGTTAAATATCTTGATGAAAATAAATATCCCCCTTGAAATCCTTCATCCAAACACACTCATAGAGATTAAAGCAAGCTTACCTGCAAGAAAACTGTAAATAGACGACTGAATACTGACAGCAGAAAGCCTGCAGTGTTTGAGCCATATAGCTCCTGAACTGTATGAACTAGACCAAAATCAGCAAACTGGGCCTTATCAATCACACCACGAACCAAGTGATTTTTGAAAATCAATATCTTTTCTTCATCAGGTTCTTTTTTTGACTTTTTTCCAGCATCTTTGCTTGCTCCGCCATTGTTTGGTTTATCATTTGATCTGTTCTTAAAAAAATCATGTGGGGTTTTCCCAGCTTTTTCCACTGTAAATGGTGGGCAACCACTCGTAATATGATTTAGCACAGCAGTTATGACCTAGAAAAATGGATAAATATAGTCAAAAGAAATGAGGAAAAGGTAAAGGGATAGAAATCTTTTTCTAAAAAAACAATCAGTAATATGTAGCCAAATGTAAGATTTTCTTGATACCATAGAAAAGAGAGCATAGACTAAAACGTTAGGGACCATATGCCAAGGGTAATATATCTATACATATTAACTCATTTCTCAACTTTAAATGAAGGAAATGCATCTATATAACCCTAATTTACATCCGCCAACTCCCAGCAATATTTACTACAATTTTAGTTTCATGCACAGAAAAATAAGTTATAGATAAAAAGCTTCCTAGCCTGTTTACCAACCTGTTTCCCTGTCCACAAAGGTTTTGGTTTCAATATTGCAGGTAGAATGTCCATCATCCCTTCTTCAGAACTTGAAATTAATACTTTCTGACCGGGTTTCCCAGAGAGGAAACTTTGGGTAAAACCAGAAACACCAGAGCTATACAAAAGCTGATTAAACTCATCACGGCTTAAGAAAGTATCCCTCTTCGTGAGAAGAACAGCACTTACAATATGATCCTAAATTTAAAAAAAAAAATAAGAATATAAAGAGAGGTAACAATTATATATCAAGAGGTGGAGCAAAAAAAGTCATTGTCAAGCAAAATCAATATATGCATCCAGAACCTGAATTAAGGCTCTAAGTGGTTCGCCATTCGAGGGCCTGACATACTGGTTATTTGCATTAACGAGGTTATATGCTTCAGCACGAGAAATTTCATCTTGTGGGAAATGTACATTTATTTCATCACCATCAAAATCAGCATTGTACGTACTGAAATCAGAAGAAAAAAAATGATTCATTAGTCCTACTAGAAAAACATTAACTACTAACAAATTACATGAATGTAATGTACATGTAGGTGTACTCCATGTTAAGGAGTGCCGGAGTGTGGCATAGCACCATTGTGCCAAACAAAAAAGACACCTCAAACTCATTTGAGTGAGCCACATAGATCAGGTATACTGGGTGCGGAGTCCACACACCCCTCATATACATAGAGTACTGCATGTATATGCTATCATCTCTTATAGTTCTTACTCAAACATGCGTGTATCATTCATAATTCATAAAATACCAACCTGCAATTTGCATAATGCATACGAATTGTCTTCTCCCCTTTCAACACACGAACTACATGTGCCATTATACTCGGCTTGTGAAGCGTAGGCTGCAAGAAAAAAGTTCGAATCAAACTCAAACTCAAGGAACAACAACGCAACAAAAGATGTATTTAATTAGACGTGATTCACGCTATGTAGAAAACCTCAAAGAAAAGTGCAATCCTTCATTCAATAAAATGCAAATACTTTGCAATTTTATAGAACATTGTTATATCTTTTTTCTTGAGCAAATTACACTAAAACATAAAGCCACAAAGGAGATAAATAAGATGTTTAACAAGATAGAACACAACTAGTATGCTATGAAATAATTAAACACCACGATCCACTAGCTCATGAAGATCTACATTACCTTACACAACATAAAAGGTCTAATTTCATTTCTTTACAGAGTACAACACCCAAAAACAACAGCAACACTGTCCCAAAACAGGCATTAGTGTGTGCACCTACTGCCAGTAAATTAGGAGTAATAGACAGTATTGACCAAAAATAAAAAGCAGTGACCACAAACAAGTCTATCAAGGATTAGTGTCTAACCAGAAATGTTGAATGGGATTAAGAACCTTCGAAGCAAAATAAATATTATAAAAGCTAATATCAAAATGCTTGCCAGATATTGTGGAAAGTGACAGTAAACTAGCAGTGGATTGGGTTAAGAATAACAATTGCTGTCCCTATGTATATATAGATCTAGTGAAAGATATTGTGGCTAGGTTAAGGGATTTGGAGGGTGTTATTAGATGGGTTGCTAGGTAAGCCAATATTGAGACTGATTGCTTAGCTAAGGCTGGTATTGGTTAGTTCTACTGTCTTGCTAAGGATGTTCTTGTGTTTTGTTTGTTGGTCATTGTAAAGGGAGTCTGTATGTTTGTTTTTTTAAGAATTTTGTAACTTTCGGTTATTAATGAATTATAAGGCACTCTTTTCCTCCTTCCGCTGATTAAGGAGCACCTTGTGATCCATTAATCATGAAGGGGGTTTTTAACGAGGCCTACCCTTCCTATAAAAAAAATGCTTGCCAGAAATTTTATGTTATCCTTTAACCAGATGCACATTAGGAGCGAGATAATAAAATGAAGAATGGGAACGGAAAGTCCTTGGACAAAATAAGATGGACTACATGAGAGGATTGGACACCAAAACTTTCCCACAACAGGTGAAAGTCTTTTATTTAAAATGGAACTACAATTATCATTTTGCATATTCTTTTCTCATATATTCAGAGATGAACATGAAAAAATGCAGAGGATTCCAGTTCCCTATATTTTTCACTGCACCAAGCAAATTTCAATATTTTTAAGAGAGCTGACAACCTGAATGGATCAGCACTAAAAGTAATTGATAAGGTCCATGTACCTGTCGGTTAACTAACACAACATCTCCATCTTGTAAGTGCCGGAGAACGATTTTTCCTTCAAATTCATAGTCAAAATTCTTTCCAGGTTGGGAAATAGCTCCTCTTGATGATGGTAATTTTCTAGATATGGAAATACGTGCTTTTCTCTTAGGTGGCAGTCTTTGGGTGGACAACTTATCAACATAATGTGTAGCCCCAGGATGAACTTCAGAGCCATTTACAATTGCTTCCCTCAACTTCACAATATTCCAAGGAGTCACTCTCTGCAAAAACATCAACAGTTAAAGTGGGGGGGAAAGCAATAATAAAAACCCGAATGCAATGGTTTTCAAGTACACTTCCAAGGGGATTTACTTCCAAAACCAGAAAAGCAGTACAGAGAAATTTCATAAACATCTGAAACTAAGCATCATTGTCAAAATAAACTTACCAATATTTTAATTTGGTAACATGGCTACTAATAGGAAATTCTACGCATAATTCAATTGTGCATTTTAAATGGTAGCAAAGGCAATTTAAAGTTTAAAATCACTTTAGCCCAGAGAGTATCAAGGTTGGAAAACAATCTCCACCCTTAAGACTTCTTTATAGAGTATCAAGGTTGGAAAACAATCCCCACCCTTAAGACTTCTTTATATGTATTTGGAAAACAATCAGTAAATATGATTCATGATTTTGTAAGAACAATAGTTACTTCTCTTTGATGTTTTACAAGCGAGAGAGAGAGAGAGAGAGAGAAGTATTTCATTTGTCTATCAACAATGCATAGACAAAAGAGTTTGACCGGAACTTAACAAGTCTTAAGGTGTTTCGAAGTAAATACTTGTTTTTTCATTTAGAGCAACTTCCATACATCAAACTGGGTTAACCTGGTGTTAATCCCCTATTGTCAGTCCAAAAATACATATACATCTTCATATGCAGAGCTACAAGCCATGAACATTTTCCACATAAAACTGACATACAAGTTCAATAATTTGGTTTCATGTCCTAATTAAGCCTTCTTGTTATCTACTCACGTTATCTTCGCATAACAGTTGTCTCTACAATAATGGAAACTGAAAATTTCTAGCTTATCCTATGATTGCAAAAGTTCTCCTATCAAATAAGGCTCATATTAAACAAAAGGTTGTAAATGGCTACAAGAAAAGCAGCCATTGTAAGATTAACAGAAAAAAAAAATTATAGTATCTCTGATAGGCAAGCGTGAGCCAATCTCAAGATTTAAGACCAAGCAAAATACATGAAAAAGGGAACCTAATAATCTAAATTGCACATATTAAACTCCATTGCAATAATTTATAATTCTAAGAGAAATCCTAAATATACAATAATCTACAAGATGGACTAAAATGGTACAATGATTTTACCTCAGGATATGTTAACCTTAAAGCAAAATACGGAGGAATACCGATCTCGTTAACCGCCAGATAAGGGTCAGGGGATATAACAGATCGGCATGCAAAATTAACTCTTTTCCCCATCATTTTCTGACGGAACATGCCTTCCTTCTTCTCCAGCAACTGGCATATTCCTGAGCTCGCATCTCTCCTTTGACCTGCCGTAAAGAATAGAGAGTTCACTACTTAAGTGACATATATCCTAACTACATTAATCAAGAAGGAGGTTTTTAATGAGGCCTTCTAATCTTATCAAAAAAAAAGTGACATATATCCTAACTACATATAAAAGATATAAAAGATCTCAATCTAACAGCAGTATAATTAGTCTAAAGCAAAAGGCCACATGTGCATGCCGTGTATTGCACACATAATTCAGATGCAAGCAGAATATCCTCAGTCATCCTCTCCCATGGATGTACAACATGAAAAGAAGCGGAAGCAAAAGGACGGTGCAGTCATGTGTCTTCAATTGCAGCATACAGCTAGGGATATATACCAATTCACAATCTAAATTAGCTTTCAATGAACCCTTTTCCCAGATGAACAAAACTGATACACCAGCCTACATTTAGACCTCGCAATTGCAGAGTAAACTTCAGCTCAAAGCATCCTCAAGAGACCCACCAGCCAACACTATGGTCAGTCAAATTAGGCAGCACTATAACGGTGAGCATAACCTTTTTCTTTTGGTATTAGCACCCGATGCATTTTGGCACACTGTTTCGGTTTTCTGAATTTCTAAAATATTTTTCATATATATAAATTTTTTTTTTTGATAAGAATGACAGGCCTCCTTAAAAACCTCCTTCTTGATTAAAGAAGGAGGAAAAGAGTGCCTTAGAAACTTTATTACCCTTCGAATTACATAAGATTTAACATAAACACCATACTGAAAAAACACAACAGACTAAGCTACTCAACAGACAACCAAAAACCTAAACTCAAACGATACAATGCACTGGAAACGACTAAACATCAACCAATTCCCATCTTTGCTAAACTATCAGTCTCCCCATTACACACCCTTGGAATCAGTCTAATTGAGTGCACCCTGTCCGAGATAAATAGCTCATTTCCAAATTTTCCAACATTTTTTATGCACAGGCATACATTTAAACTACATAAAAATATATATTTATATACAAATACAAATTTTCAAATATAAAAATCTTTGATATCTAAATAGTTAAATGATAAATAAATAAAATAAGTATATAAATATTTGAAAACTATAATATTTATTATTAATTAGATTCAATGTCTAAATAATTAAATATATCTTCTTTTTGAAAGAAAATATGAAAATAAAATTATAACAACTAGAAACGTACAAGAAATTGGTTAAAAGAATCAAATAAGTAAAAAATTGAAAAACAAATAAATATAAATCTTATAGCGACAATTCAAATCAGTATGTACCCGCATAGGCCAATACAAGATGGTACAAGCTAGTATGGACCGGTAAAACTGATACAGCCAGATACAATATCTGAAATGTTACAATGTTAACACAGTTTTCTTTTCTTAAAAAAAAGACATACCAGCCACTATCACTGGTACCAGTACGGCATCAACTACTATAGGTTCAATACACTTTGCTAATAAAGTTCAAGCAACTAGCAGTTTATATAGATCTTCTCACCTAAAAAAAGTGAACCTTGAGACACAGGAAGAAACTGTACTTACTCATTGCAGTTTTGCTATCAAACAATAAATTTACTGATTGTTGCAGATCCATCCATAGTCTAATTATAACCTTTGAACTCTGCAAATTGTTGTTATAAGCATTTCCCAGTGATATATTAGCCTGCAACACCTTACTTAGTAAAACAGTTTGAGGATGCTCCATCACCTACAGGGGGTGGGGAATGGAAAACGATGTTAGCAGATTTTCATTCCTGAAAGTAAAGCCCTACTCCATGTGATGCAACAGCAATAGCAAAGAAACAGAAAATTGTAAAGAAAGCTAGGCAATCCAAATTCCAAAATATAAATTTCAAATATTCAACAATCAAAGCTAACTGAAAGTGAAAAAATGGCATCTATAAGAGCCTCTCAGAATACTAGGCTATGTTTTGATTAAAGTTATTAAAGGAATAGAAAGGTTGTTCGGATAGCTAAAAGTAATAAAAGAAAGGAAATGAAAGATAATTAAAAATCCCATTTCCAATCTTATGTATGTCCAACAACCCATCCCAATTCTCCATTCCTGTTCTTCTACGTGCACTAGTATAATTTAACAAAAGCCAGCCATCAGTCACCTTATCAACATGTAATAAGGATCAATGAGCTAACCAAGCTTTATCAAAACCTCCCTCCCCCTTGAAAAGAAATAAGGAAATTCTATCAAATATAGATACTTACAGAATCACCTCCCTTAGTTGGAGCGCGAAACTTAATAGGAGGTACAAGAATGGAGTCCAAAAAGAACATAGAATAACCCACTTTCTCTCCAAACCCTTGCTGCTGGATATCATTGATCAACAAGCAAAGTTCAATCTCATTTTCCCATAAAAGTTTTATAACTTTTATAACCTGTAGCAGATTAAGAATTCTAAAATGAATAATTTACTCATGAAATCAAGTACAAGAACAATGCCAGAAAATTTTCCATAAATAAGAATCATACCTCTGATGGCAAAAGCGGTCCTGAAAACAAATTCTTCTGCTTCATGAACTCAAGAGGTACTTTATCCTTCTTTTTACTAGCTTTTCCAGTTTCAGAAGTCCTCATTTTTGTTATCTCAACACCATCCTCAGAGCCAGATGCATCGCTGCCATCTGCTATCTCAGATCCAGCTTCACCAGAAAAAGCATCTGCCATTTTGCACCCTCTGATAACGTTTTCCCTCATTTGCGAACCAGACATGCCATTCTGAAGTTAGAAACAAGGAAATTTAAGAACATATAAGAATTGAACCACTGATGCCCAGAAGTTCTCCAAGTTGGAAAAGAAGACTACAGCAACCACCTCAATTACACAAATTAAATGAAACCACCATGGGATCGCTTTGCATGTTCATCCTGAATGAAATATTTATAGTAATGCATACACAAAACAAGGAACTAGAACAGAAGAGAAAAACATAATTAACCACATACATCATCTGCACACACATAAATCCTTGAGCTACGATCAATGTGTTTGTAAAAACTAGTAGTGCCAGTTTTGAGATAAACCAAAATACTACTAATATCACACTGTTTAAGTTGTCATAATGGTTAGTTCTGATCATACCAGCCTACATTGATTAGTAACTATCAGTACAAGATGTTTTCTATTTTTCACACGTTTTACTTTATTAACTTTTCTTAGTCATGATCATTTTTAATTATTTTTTTCACAATTTCATTTAAAAATCAAATATTTTCATTAAATTGGATAGTTGAACCTAACTAAAATTGTTTACAAAATTCTCATATTCTATTTTTATTTATTTGATTTTTAATTTTGTTATGTTAAATATTTATAATTTTGAAATTTATATATGAAAATGCGAGTATATACGTAGAGGTATCTTTCTAAACATATAATATATATTTTATTAGGAATTTTGGAAATAGGCGACATGAATATACATATATGAACTACTATATTGGATAAACGAAAGTAAAACCAAAGTGTTGTATATGTACTAATACTGAAGCAAAATTGTTTCGGCAATCGATTCAACATTTACTAATTTGTATAGTGGGAAATTTAACTTTATTTTTTCAAGAGAAAATATAAAAGGAAAATAAGAGATATACCGTGTGAAACCAACCAAAAGTGGGCTTTGAAATAGCAGGATTCTTCGCATCACAGTTCTTACATTTTTTGAACCTCACTTTCAGAAAATTATTTAAAACCGACATTGCCTCTGTAAGCTGAAGAGATGTCCATTCTTTCGCCTTTACAGACTCGGAATCATGCAGTCTAGAACCTAGATCTTGGCTCCCTTCCCTATTCTCTGGATATGAAGATGCATCTTTTGAGTCTGAATCTAACCTTTTGGCACCAACAATATCACCTTTTCCAATGAGTTTCAATTGAGAAACACATCTCTCAACCTTAAATTAATTTAAATCCAAAAGAAAATATATATTAGAGAAGTAAACAAAAGAATCCAAGAACATTAGAAAACAATTTACCTCAGTCCTGTCTGCCCTAAAATGATAGCAGAAGAAACAAGCCCTTTGGATAATTGTATGAAGAAAATTGAAGAGTAAAGGATTATAAATTGGAGACACCAAATCAACGTGGCCACAGTGACCTGGGCAATTTAATTTCAAGAGACCACAGCTTTTACAACTGCGATAAAATAAAAAATAAACATCATAACAAAACAAAACAAATGCAATTTAATCTACAGTTGATGAAGTTGCATTCAGTTGTTTCTGGAAGCAAAACGGTCTATATAGAATGCAGTCAACATGTTTACCGAATTACACAGAGAAATTCTTTCTTGAGGAAAAGTTAAAGAACATACGGAGTTCGGTCCTCAAGGGGGCCTAAAACGGGATCGTATAATCCACCGGGCATAGGGCGGTCCATGAAGTCGAGCAAATTGGCGTTGGTGACCTTCAAAACGCTGTGTTTCCGAACCTCTTCTGTTGACATGAATTCGAACCTTATCGCATCCACTGAATCCGTAGCTCCCTGTAAAAATTCATTACAAAAAGATGGACTCAGAAAACTTCATAAAAAAAACCTTGCTAATCTTATATTGGAAAAGAAACTAACATTAATCGAGAAAAATTTATTAACCAAAAAGTATTCGGAAGAATGAAAAATTCAGAAAAGGAAGAGAAAGAGACCTCCGTGATTTGAGCCATGTTTCCGGTCAGCTGTGAGATGAAACAAAACGGAGACGGAAAAGGCGATATGTTATAGAGAGAGCGGCGTCTAGGAGAAGTGCGACTGAGAGAAAGTTGAAGGTAAGGGTTTAAGAAGGGGCTTTTCCTTACACTTTTAAAAATAATTTTTATTTCAAATTTAGTTTTATTTCTAAATTCCGCACTGGTTTAATATAAAAAATTGCTCGAACTATACATCAAAAAATATTTTAACACTTAAAAATTTTCGTTAAAAATATGTGTCTAATGTTAAAAATATTATATTTTTATGTGTCAGGATATTAACCATAATTAAAAATTTTCGTTAAGTAACACGTGTGTGATATAGTGATTTTGAGAATCTTTTATAAATTAAAAAAAATAAAAATATTTTTTGTAGAAAAAAAAACAGAACCTTTAGTGCCCCTTTCCCTTTCATCCTTCCCCATTCTCATAGTTGTCGGTCAATTAGTGGTGACCGTAATCGTAACTGGTGTTGACCTCCAATCAAACTCCTATTGACATTTTATCGTAATATGTCACCGTTTGTAGTGAAGAAGCGTTCAAAGGTTCATCAGATACCGTAATTGTTTTTCGTTGATTTTGGCGTTCACAAGCCATCATTTGAACTACCGTGCAATTTCGATCAAAACCCAACCGTTTGACATTGACGATGACGGTCGGATATGATCGACGATCTTTTAGGTTAGAAAATTGAATTTGAGAATTAGAGATTTGAATTTTGGGGTTTTAGATTTAGAGATTTTTTGTCAGTTTAGCGATAATGATGGAGGTCGGAGATGGTCAACGACGTTTTTAATGGGTTAAAATGAGAAATTTTAGTTTTTTAGGGGTTTTTTATAATTTTAAAAAATTGAGTTTTTAAAATAATTTTTTTCTTTTTAATTTAAAATAATATTTTTAATACTAAAAAAGTAAAAAAAAATAAATGTGGACACATAAAAGTATAACTGATAAAAAGTTGAATACTTATTTTAAATGAAAAATTCTTTAGGCACTAAAACATTTTCGAGATATAGTTTAGGTACTTATTTTTATATTAAGACTAAAATAAAATGCACAAGCCCTTTAACCCAACATCCAATCCAATAATGTTTTTAAATGACTTAATTATAAAAAAAATGCCCAAACTATAACAATGTTTACGAATATATGCCTAAATTCTTTTTGAATTATCTCGTGCCTAACGTTATCACTTTAGGTGTCTAGGCCGTAAACAACGTTATTTTCCTCTATTAAGTGACACGCATCACATGTCACATTTGGGTAATTATGAATTTTTTAAAAAAATAAAAAATTATTATATTTATTAAAAAACTTTAATTTCTCTTAAATTATAAAAAGCCCAAAAATCCCCAAATTCTAACCCTAACTCGCTATCAATGTTGCCCTTTCTAGTCACGACCATCGTTCTCTATGTAGTCCATACCATCTTGCTAATCATACATAGCCATAATTATCGCCGATTGACTGTCAAAATTGCGTTGGGTCGTGATTTTCATCATAGGTTCCGTCTGGTATAAAACATCGATTAGATGCCAATTAGTTGTGATTTCATATGGGTATTAATCAGTAGGGGATGTAAGGTCGAGTGGAGCTTCGTTTACGGCAAAGGGTGGTGATCGGCGCAGGTTTATGGGTTGAAATGAAGGTTTTCAAAGCTTTGGGGCTATCTTATTTTTTTTAGTTTTTTTTAAAGTATATAATTTTTATTTTTTAATTTTAAATAAAATTTTTAAAATTACCAGAATGTGACACGTTTCACTTAACGGAGAAAATTAACACCAGTTCACTTTAATTGCTATATAAGTTAAATTCAAAATGTTGTGAAATTTACCTAAATGACTAGTTTAACTCAATGGTTGAGTGATTTGTTTCTCATGTAAGATTCTCAGAATCAATTCATACTAGTTGCATTAGGTGGTGACATATCGATTGAATAAAATTAATTAAAAAATACTAACAAATAAAAAAAGTGGTGAGGTAATTAAAAAAATAAAAAAATTTGACATTTATGCTACATAAGTATTACCATCAACGATTTTAAAAAATAAAATTTTAAATGCTAAATTTAAACAAAAATAATAATTTAGGTACATAATTGTAATTTATCTTTTTAATATTTACTTAATAAGGACAATTTTATTAATAGTACGTTTCAGTACGGCGCTTTAGTAGTATGTTACAAGATACAACGTGTGGTGTAGAATTTTCATATTATTGATAAATTATACTAGCAAATAATTATACGGAGAAACTAAAATTAATACTTTGACTAAACTTATTTTTCATTATTAAATTGTATTTAATTAATAATTTCAATAATTTTTTTGAAAATTTTCAAATATTTCAGTTATGTAAACTCAAAGAAAACAACTATTTTTTTAATAAATTCTAAGAAAAATATTTAAAATGACATTAAACATTATTTGAATATAATATGTAAAAGATATACAATGTCCCTGCTGAGTTAATCGATTGACGGAATCGGCCAAGAGGGAGTGAATTGGCAATAAAAAATTTGGTGGAAGCTTTTGCAGAAAATTGAAAGAAATTGCACATCGATTTAGAGTGGTTCGACTTTCTCAACCAAAGTCTACGTCCACTACCTTAGCTATCCACACTAAGGATTTTCCACAAATTCACTAATTTGTCTTTCTTTTGAGGACAAAGAGTAACCTTACAAACCCTCAATAATTATACCCCAAATTCTTGAGAACACTCTCTCCCAAATAGAACAATACAAATTTGCAAACTTACAAGGAAATCCTCACAAGGTAGATTGTTTGCACAATTCTATAACAAATAAAAGAACACTAAAAAATGAATACAATTGAGCACAATAAGTGTTCTTGAAAGCAAAATGAATATTGAATGACAAATGGGCTTGAAATGCTCAAATTTGAGGTTTGATGCTTTCTCTTTGATTCTCTCTTGATTTTAGTTGCTTGATTTTTATTGTTATTGATCAATGGCTTATAAGCTTGCTTAAATACACTTTGAATCACTTCTGAACGTTGGGGATCATTAATGAAGATAATATAGCCATCTTAGTGTGAAATCAATTAATAAAACAGTTTGGAGCGTGGGGGAATCGGTACCCCTCGAGGGGAATAGAATTCCCTAAGTGTAAAATTCAAATATTTCGGCCGTTGAACAGTGAGGGGAATCGGTACCCCCTGGGGGAAATCGGTTCCCTTCGAGCATACTGGAATTCTCGGAGCCAAACCATTCATGGAGAAATCGGTTCCCTCTGAGCAATCTGGAATTTTTGGCTTTGAAACGGTTAAAAATACTTTGTAAAATTATTTTGAAATTTTTTTAAGATTAAAACTTAATTTTACACTTGAGTAAGGATTAAAAATGACTTTTGAAAGATTTAGAGTAATGTTTTGATATTCGAATAATTATATCAAATATACTTAGAAAATCATTTTGGAAAATCTTAAAATTCATTTAACTTAATTTGTTATATCGAAATATCAAAATGTTTTCAACAATCTCCCCCTTTTTGATATAACAAAACATTTTAGTAATTTTAAGATTTTGAAATCAAGTTTTGAAATTACTCCCCCTTACTTTAACACTTATCCCATTTAAAATATTTAACATTTCTCCCCCTTTTTGTTAAATCAAAAAGACAGTTTAAAAGAATTTAAACAATGTTTTCAAATCATTTAACCAATTTGAATATATATAGTTTAAGCTGCTAAGATCACAATCAAGAGAAATGTTAGTCATTAGTTTCATAATCAATATTCATAATTAATGTGACATGGCAAAATTGGTCATATATTTAACATGATGTAAATGATGCAATAATGAATAAATTTAACCACACCAAATATATAAGTTCAAACATCCAAACAAATCCAAAGTCTAACAATCCACAAAATCAAACATTCCAAAACATTCAAAATGTTGAAACAATAATCTTTTAGTTCAAAGTTCTAAAGTTAAACACAGAATCAAATATCCGGATCGGGAGGAGGAAAACGAGCTCACATAGCGGCCATCTCATGTGAGAGTGCATCAATACGTTCATTCATCGAAGCGTTGTTTGTGCGCATCTCTCGGAGCATTTCTAATTGTTGAGCTCCCATTGTGGATAAATGAGACTCTATAGAAGTAAAGCGCGAATCCATGGTAGCATATCGGAAATCGAATGTCTCCATAAAAGATTGAAAATATAGAGGCATTTGATACGTTTGTTGTGCTTGCTCCTCGGGCTGCTCCTCGGGTTGTTCAGGCTCATCTTTGGCTTCATCGATGTCTCGCATTAATTGTTCAAGCTCGGGATCGTTGTCAGCTTCTGGTGGAGCTCGTGAAGAACTAGCTCCCGGAGTATTTTCAGAAGATCGAACCCATTCACCGGTTTCCTTATCCTTTATCCATCCCACTCTCGTTAAGGAAAGAAGATTAATTTGTTTCTTTAGATGAAAGGAGCATCTAGACCAACTCTAAGCCCAGTTTTAGAAAATAGATTACTTAAAATGCAACCGTAAACAAGAGATGAACAAAGTTTCTTGTTAGAAACAAGGTTTACGGTTTCAACAATTTCAGCAAAAATGATATGAGGTAGGTTTATTTTAATATTGTTTTCGAAACAATGTAACCACCAAAGATCCAAGGCTCTAAGAGTAGAATAACGACCTCCGGATGGTCGAAACCACCAAGAAATCATTAGATGAAGAAAACGTTCATGAAGGTCTAAGACACTCGCATTATCCCTTCTTTTATAACGAGAACCTAAAATTTATTTTTCATTTGAAATATCATCGTTATCTAATCCTAATGCCTTGGCTATGTAAGACGAGTTAATGTGTAAGAATTGTCCTAGGAGGTAGGAACGAACTTCTATGGTCTCAATTTGAGCTTGGTTTTTGACACAAACGGCATTAGAATAAAAGATGCGAACAAGTTGATGGTAAACTATAGGTTCAAGGTCGCAAAGTTTATCGAATTTCCACTCTTGTAAAAGAGGAAGATATTTAAAATTAATATCTAACATAGCTTGACGAGAAGGGATACGTTCTTCTCTAATTTTGTAAGAGCAGAAATA